ACGATTATTCTCATTTTACAAGCAATTTACCATTGAATAAAGATGTTCATTTTTATTTCTTCTTAATTTTACCATCAAGAAAACAAGTTGGAATAACTTGTGCATTATTTTCAGTGTCTGATCCCTATCTGAATTCTGATTACATATTTCCTTCTATTTGAACCATTGATAATTAGTTACATTGGTGCATTTTCATAGCCTACACCCAACAACACTAACTAAAGCCATTCTGTGGTATCACTCCCACCTTTTTTGTTAAAGTAATGTCAACATATTAGCAGGGGACCAGCCAGCACCTGGTGAGCCTCTATGGCCGCCAGTGGCGGATCTAGGTGGCCGCCCTAACTGGATCCGCCGAAAGCCATTTTTTTTTTGCTGAAAACAGATTAAGGTTTTAGGTTATATTACTGATAATTCTTTCTTCTTCCAAAATTTCCTTCTAGTTGAAGTGGTTAGAGTTTATATTTACATTTTACAAGTCCCGGTTTCGATTCTCTTCACAGTCAATTCATTGTGCAATTTTTTTAGTTTACAACAACTACCAAAATTAATGCAATAGAAAGTAGTTGGATGAGATTCAAACCTCGAACCCTTATTATAATCATTGAAAGCTTGACCACTATGACATCTATTACTTTTGGCACTTAATTCGACAAAATAATATATATTACATTTATTGGGTTTAATAAAATTATTAAGATTCAAAATCATACTCTTCCTTTAAATTATACGATACTGGGTAACAATGTCATTTGGTGAATATGCGGTTTATTCTTATAATAGAATTATATATGTTCAATATAAACAAAATAATTGTTATATTTAAATTTTAGGCCTTGTTTTATTTTCATTTTTTTTTTCAAAATACATTTTTATCTATCTTATTTTTAACCATATATTTTTCGATAAAATAATATTATACGCAAATTCAAAACCTTTTTCTTATTTTTGACCTCACGTTCTCAATGAAATTATTATTTCAAAATGCATTTTTTGTTAAAAAAAGAAAAAAAAAGAAAAAAAAGACATCAAACGAGCTCTTAATACTTTATTGCGGTTGATGGTCAACAATCAACAATTGCCCGTGCTGACTTAAAATCCTAGATTCGCCACTGATGGCCCCCCATGCTGGCTCACTCCAGAAATCTTATTGCCCAGCCGCCTGTACTCACCTGGATTCCTAGATCTGCCACTGATATGTGAAGTATCCCAAGGAGGGACGGGGGCCACTTAGATTTGCTACATTCATTTCTGCTTCATTGATCTGCTTTAAAATTTCTTCTTTCTTAATCACTAGAGCCTACATTTTGCTATCAGTCTTCTCTAATTTGGCTCTTAATTTAGCCGAATACTTCTTGTCTTGAGGATTCTTCTTCTTCTCTTTGACACTATTATCTTTCTTTTTCTTGTCTTTGGCTTTCTCTGTACTTTTCTCTTATTAGGAAATAAAGCTGTATATATTATCTTTCTTATTTGTAGCATATTATCTTTCCTATTGTATTACCTAACTTTTAGCTAGACAACTCATGATAACTGATTTGTAAGAGTAGTCAATGTTTCTTCCTGTATAAATACACGATAGAGTATCAATAATATTATTCAAGCAAATTCAATATCTCTTCCATCTTTTCATGGTATCAGAGCAGGACTAAGATCCTGCTTCGTCGCTGCACTTTAAATCTCTCTTGTAGCATCTTTCTCTTTCAGCCGTCATGGTCAATGATGAATTACCACCAACTCCTTCTGCTCCTGGCAAAGAAATTGTCGATCCTGATGCAGATTCTTCGAGACCGAATATCTCAAATCCTTATTTTACTCATCATTCAAATCATCCAGGTTTGGTTTTGATTTCCAAACCTTTGAATGGAGACAATTATTCTACTTGGAAAAGGGCTATGACTTTGGCTCTAAATTCCAAAAACAAACTAGGTTTTGTCGATGGATCAATCAATGCACCTTCAAAAAGGACAGATCCTGAAAATTATGCAGCTTGGTCTCGGTGTAATGATATGGTCCATTCCTGGATCGTCAACACTCTCAGTCCGAAAATTTCAGACAGTGTAATATATTACTCTACCGCTAATGAAGTTTGGGAAGATCTTTGTGAACGATTCTCTCGAAGCAACGTACCTCGCATCTTCGAGATTCAGCAAGATATTGCCTATCTTCGACAAGAACAACTCTTTGTCTCTGCTTATTATACAAAATTAAAGGGCCTATGGGATGAACTAAGTTCCTAAAGCGATGCAGTATATGGAGCACAACAAGATCAACAAAAATTGATGCAATTTCTGATGGGATTAAATGATTCTTACAGTGGTGTTCGCAGCCAAATCCTCCTGATGAACCCCTTCCTTTAGTTCGCCAAGCATATTCCTCTGCCTCTCAAGAAGAAAAGCAACGTCTTCTGAGTTCGACACACGCTGCAGGAGATTCTGGTGGTAGCGCAGCTATGGCTGTTCGAAGCAACAATAGCAACAAATCCACTCCATCAGTTCGTGCAGGAAGGTTTGACCGTCCATATGGTTCACATGATTTCAGATCACAAGAAAAATCAACAGAAAAATTCAATGGAGGACGTCGAAATGATCAAGAAAAGAAACGTTCAGGATTTGGAAGAGGTCGTATTCATTGTGCCCATTGTGGAGAATTGGGCCATTGGGTCCAAACTTGCTATGAATTACATAGGTATCCAGCGGGCCACCCAAAGGCTAAGTATAATTCAGGCCCAAAATGTTTCAACAGCAATAACAAGCCTGCAGCTAATCATGTGTCCGAGTGTCTTTCTAAAGAGGACAGCAATCACGTTGTTGGAATTTCAGAGGCCCAATTGAAGCAGCTCTTGTCACTTCTTGACAACAAAAATGAAGGATCTAGCTCTCAAGCAAATGCCATGATCAAGCCAGGTTTGTCTAAAGTCACTTCCCGCAGTTGGATCATCGATAGTGGGGTGACGAATCATATTTCTTCATCGTCAAAATTATTTTCCACACAAATAAAAATTGCTCGTTATCTCTTGTACTATTGCCTAGCGGAGAAAAGGCTAATATTGTTGCAAAGGGATCATTACCTCTGAATTCCGTCTACAATTTGAATGATGTTCTATATGTACCTACATTCAAAGTTGATTTGATGTCAGTTAGTCGTCTAACAAGAGGCCAGAATTGTTCAATAACCTTTTTTCCCTTATTGGTGTGTTTTGCAGGATCTGGCTACGAGGAGGATGATTGGCTTGGGTAAACAACATGACGGACTATACTATTTGGTGGCAATAGCAACAAAGAAATCTGTGACAAACTCTTCTTCATCCACACATCGACCAACCTGTAACCTCACCATCTCATCCACCGATCTATGGCATAACCGCTTAGGCCATGTGTCACCTCCTTGTTTGAGTTTCATTGCGAAGAATTTTTTGAATTTTTTCGTTCAATCCAATAATGCTTGGCCTATCTGTTCTTTGGCTAAGCAGAGTCGTTTACCTTTTCGTCCTAGTGTAATCTCTTCTATAAAACCTTTTGAATTAATTCATTGTGACATATGGGGTCGTTATCAACACCCTTCTCTTTCTGGTGCTTATTATTTTCTCACTATTGTTGACGATTATACATGTTCTCACACAATTTGGGTCTCACATTAAGATTTTTCGAAGTGACAATGGTGGGGAATTTATCTCACTTCGTTCCTTTTTCCATGACAATGGTGTCATCTTTTAGCATTCTTGTGTTTATACGCCTCAACAAAATGGGGTTGTAGAACGCAAGCATCTTCACATCTTACAGGTTGCTCGAGCTTTGAAATTTCAAGCTCGACTCCCTGCCCAATTTTGGGGGGATTGTGCCCTTACTGCTGTACACATAATCAATAGATTCCCTTCTCCGGTTCTCTCTTACAAAACCCCTTTTGAATTTCTCTACTCAAAATCGCTTTCTTTTCATCATCTGCGTGTCTTTGGTTGTTTAGCCTATGCAACTAATGTCCATACTTCTCACAAATTTGACCATCGTTCCATACCCTCAATTTTTATTGGGTATCATATTGGCCAGAAGGCTTACAAATTATTTGATTTGTCAACCAAAAAGGTTTTCACTAGCCATGATGTAAAATTTCACGAAAATATATTTCCTTATGCATCTATTCAGCCCTACTCTACCAATTCTGGCCTAAATACTAATTCAGGCCCAATTCCTCTTGTGGCCCATGACATCCCTTACCATTTTGACTCCATTCCAGACACTTCTCATCCAAACACAACCCCTCCTCATCCAAATACGACTCCTTCTTCTCCAATTCCACAACCCGCTCCTGCCTCTCCTCCTTCGCCGGATTCACCATTTCCAGCACCAAATTCTTTGTCACACCCGCTTCCTCCACCGCTTCTCTCCTCTTTTGCACCCGATCCCGGCTATCCACCGGATCCAGCTCTACTTCGTCGTTCCAGTCGCCACATCGATCCGCCAGCCAAGCTTCGCGATTACGTCTGCTCCACTGTTTCATCCAACCAATCGTCCACCTTGCTGCCTGGTCCGACCAAAGGTACGAGATATCCACTGGCCAATTTTGTTTCGTATCACATATATACACCTGCATGTCGCTCTTTTGTTGCTCAGATCAGTAAGGTTACAAAACCCAGTTCTTATTCGGAAGCCGTCGTTCATCCTAAATGGCAGGAAGCCATGCGTTCCGAATTACAGGCTCTCCAAGCCAACGGCACTTGGTCTCTAGTTCCACTCCGACCGACAAGACTCCTATTGGGTGCAGATGGGTGTTTAAAATCAAACACCATTCCGATGGTTCTATCGAGAGGTACAAAGCTCGTTTAGTCGCCAAATGCTTCACTCAGCTGGAAGGTGTTGATTATCAGGACACCTTTTCCCCCACTGCCAAAATAATCTCAGTTTGCTGCTTGCTCGCCTTGGCTGCCTCTTGTGGCTGGTCCATTCACCAAATGGACGTCAACAAATGCCTTTCTTCATGGTGATTTAGCTGAAGAAATATACATGTCTCCGCCGCCAGGGCTTCGACAATAGGGGGAGGATAACTTGGTTTGTCGCCTTCATAAGTCATTGTACCGGATTGAAACAGGCATCTCGCTAGTGGTTCGCCAAGTTCTCAGAGGCTATTTGCTCCGCTGGTTATGTACAATCTCGAGCTGATTACTCTTTGTTCACCAGAAAACAAGGCAAGTCATTTATTGCTCTCTTGATATATGTTGACGATATTTTAATTACCGGGAATGATCCTGTTAGCATTGGTACAACTAAAAAATTTCTGCATAGTCATTTTCATCTAAAAGATCTTGGTAATTTAAAGTACTTTCTTGGTATTGAGGTATCTACTTCTAAGAACGAAATTTTTATTTCCCAACATAAGTATGCATTGGAAATCATTAAGGATGCAGGGCTGTTAGGTGTAGCTCCTATTGATACTCCAGCAGAACGAGGCTTGAAATTATCAGACAAGAGTGACTTTCTTAAAGATTCGAGTCAATATAGAAGATTAGTCGGCAGGCTAATTTACTTGACTGTTTCGAGGCTGGATATGACATATGTTGTACATGTCCTGAGTAGATTTATGCACCAACCTTGAAAACTTCATATGGAGGCAGCTCTTCGGGTTGTCCGATATCTAAAAGTTGCTCCTGGAAAAGGTCCGTTCTTCTCTTCAAATAGTGATTTCAAGTTGAGAGCTTACTGTGACTCGGATTGGGCAGGTTGCCCACTCACTAGGAGATCTACTACGAGTTATTGTGTCTTTCTTGGCCCTTCATTGATATCTTGGAGGTCGAAACGACAGAAAACAGTTTCACTTTCTTCTGCTGAGGCGGAATACCGTGCAATGACGTGAGCCTGCTGTGAGTTGACATGGCTTCGATATCTATTGAAAGACTTGGGACTTTCAAATCATGAACCTGCTTTGCTTTATTGTGATAACAAGGCTGCCCTACACATTGCAGCCAACCTAGTTTTTCATGAGCGAACTAGGCACATTGAGATGGATTGCCATTACATTAGAGACAAGATCCAAGATGGTTCTGTGACTACAAAATATGTAAATTCTGCACAACAACTAGCAGATGTCTTGACAAAGCCCTTGGGGAAAGAGATTTTTGTTCCTATGATTCACAAGTTGGGAGTGCAAGATATCCACTCTCCAACTTGAGGGGGAGTATTAGGAAATAAAGCTGTATATATTATCTTTCTTATTTGTAGCATATTATCTTTCCTATTGTATTACCTATAACTTTTAGCTAGACAACTCATGATAGCTGATTTGTAGGAATAGTCAATGTTTCTTCCTGTATAAATACATGATAGAGTATCAATAATATTATTCAAGCAAATTCAATATCTCTTCCATCTTTTCATCTCCCCTTTCTCATCCTCATCCAAGTGCTTCTTATTCTCTTTCTTCTCATGATTCTCTTCCTTTTCGACTTTGGTTTCAGCATCATTTTTTTCTGATTATGCGGTCTATCCCATCCTTAGTATGAGTGCTCACAGACTCTTGATTGCCCTCTTAAGACTAACAACATAAATAGAAAAAAGATAAGCTGAGAAAATAGTAACCATAATGGTTTAATATGCTTGAACATATCTGTGCACATTGATGCAAACACAGATCAATTCTTCAATGCATTACACATAGGTGTGTAATCTTTGTTGGGCGGGACTAGAAAAATCCTTGCCCGACCTTGCAGAAGCCTCTGTGAAGTAACAAGATTAGCCTGTTAGTCCAAATATTTATCTAAAGTACAATAATTGGCATATGATTTTGCGTCTAAAACTGTTCCTATATACATTAATGATAGAGGGAATTTATGTACCTAAAATGTTGATCTTTGGGATTCTAATGAAAGTGTACAATCTATCAGCTATGCTCAAATTTTATTCATGATAGAACTTCTTTTCGTCTTTATTTTTTTATTCAACTTCCAAATAACCAACTTATCAATTAAATATCAAAAAACTCGGATTCATATAATGAAAAACTGTTCATATAGCAAAGGAAATATGATTAAAAATCAATTTTAGGCAATCTTATTGCCTTAAAGAGGACAAAATCACATCATGAATTCTGTAATTTTTTATTTTTCTTTCACTCATGTCCAACTTTTCCCTCTCCAGTCTCCATTTTCCTTATTTCAACAGTTCGTATCAATGAACCTAAATGCAAAAAGGCCCTAATTTTCGTTGCCCTTTTCACTTTTTTTTATTATTATTAATATTCAAAACCCTTTTCTGGAAAAAAAAAATAGGTTCAAGTTTTTCACACCTCAAATCATTTCACTACCGAGATTCCACAATGTCAAAAAATGTTGTCTAAATTTGGGCCTACACTACAGTAACCTATCAGACAAACTAGGAAGCCTTCTAAAAAAATTCAAGCTAGCAGGGGGCATGGGGTCGTTAAGGCCATCTCCAACCCTGCACCAAATTTTGTACCATTTTGCACTAAATTTTTTACCAAATCTTACATCAAACCAAAATTTTTCTCCAACCATTACACTAAAACTTACATCAAATGAACAGTGATTTATTATTTTATTCATTCTTTTGATTTTTGACAATATATTTATTTAAAAATTTATTTATTTATTTTATAACTATATAAATTACTATATCATAACTTCGTTAAATTAACAAATATATTGATTGCTAAATTATTTACGTGTTTTATATATTATGTTAAATTGACAAAAATAATTGATTATATTATTAATTTATGATAAATAATTACGTTAAATTTACAAAAATAATAAACTTTAATAATATAAATTTTACTTTAAATTAAACTTTAAACGTAGACTTTACGAATTAAACTTTACGTTAAATTAACAATTGCGTTAATTATTATTGATTATATTATTAAAAATAATAAACTTTAATAATATAATTAATAGTGTAATTAATTATTATCATTATTATTATCGTTATAGGACGAAAATGACACAAATACCCTTACTATTATCTTGAAAAATGAAAAATAAGGGCAAAATGGACATTGCACCATTTGGTGCAAAAAATGGTGTAATGAATAGTGTTGCACCAAATATGGTGCAACACTATTCACTTTGCACCATTATTTGGTGCAAAGTTGTGGTGCAAAATGTTGCAATGGTGCAACCATTGTAGATGCCCTAAACATCGGGTGGTGAAGGAAGTAGAATCTGAGTGCCACCGCAAACCATTTTGGGTGGCACAGCATACAAAACCTCCGTGATTGTGAAGCATACTCCGACGAAAAATTTTGTGGCCCTAGGGTCCCTCCAGCTGACCACGGCCTGGACTCTTTTACCTTGTGTTGCAAAATCTCCCAAAACTATTTAAACTCTTGCTGCTAATATTCTCAATCTGTCGTAACGAACACGAATAATTTCAGGTGGTCTTGAACTTGGCATTGTATCAATTTCCTTGTCAAGTTCATCTGGATCGACTGTTTTAGCTTGAGATATTTTGACATCCATGCCTGCAGGTATTTTAGGCTTGAATCAATAATACCAAACACCTATTAGAACCACGTATAAGAATCATGTTGGGACAATCAAATCCGGGTACCATACTAGAACCAAGTATAGAACATGGACTAGTATGGTTGTAACTGGATTCCTCCACCTTTGTCTATGATTCAACCATTTTGCCAACTTAACTGCGCAAGAAAGCACAGCCACTATCCGAAAACAATTAGCCTTACTTTTCTACATACTCCAAGTATGCGAGTCTGTGTCTAACATGTATCTAATCACCTCCGGCCCTAATGGTGGCTCCGACCTAGCCAACCATGCAGCCACCATTTTAGTAGCTGCGCCACGCAATGCTTCATGTTGAGCCACACCAAGTGGATAGAGATAATGCATTCGTGGTAACAAGGGCTGCCCGTATATCCCCCACATATCGGGCAACAACGAAGGACATGAAAACCGAACTGCCAATTCAATATCTCCCGTCTTCTTTAATCTAGTTCTTAACAACACCATCAGAGGATACAAATTCATGTACACATTGTTACTCTACAACGTAGAAACACATTTATACTTTTCCAATACGATAATCTGATTGTCAAACACACCAATGGTCAAGACTGTACAAAGATCGTATACTTTCCATATGTATTGCTCGTTCCACTTGGGATCAAAGCTATCAATAATAGTCAGTGTTTGAACCCATTCCTTCCCATACTTCGCAGCACAATAAGCATCAGTAGACCCTTTTGCATTGCCCTTGGATGTCATCGGCAATAGACCACGAGCATCAAGTATTCCAAGCTCCAAAATCCCAATTGAAGGCTTCCATAACTACTTAGCAGTGGGTGTAAAATCACTGCAAAGATCATATTGGGAAAGAGAATTAATTTCTCCTTCAAGTCAATGAATTGTATGTACATCAACGAGACTTATAAATAGCAAACTAAAAGCTATGCCAACTGTATTACAAGCTAACCAAAAGCTGTACCAACTGTATTAAAACTAGCTATGGTGTCAATATTCCTCCTCAAGATGGACTATGCAGATTAAGAATAGCCATCTTGGACAATAGAGGGAAAAAGAGAGAAGCTGGAAGAGGCTTTGTGAATATGTCAACTAACTGTTGTTGAGTGCGTACGGGTAGGAGCTTGATAAATCCATCTGTGATCTTATCCTAAATGAAGTGGCAATCGATCTCGATGTGCTTAGATAGCTCATGGAAGGTGGGATTATTGGCAATATGAATTGCAGCCCGGTTATCACAAAAGATCAACGCCAGTGTGGTGAGAGAAATCTAGAAATCAAGTAGTAGCTGATGAATCCAAACCAGCTCACTGGTTGTGGATGCAAGAGCACGATACTTTGCTTCTGCAGAGGATCTAGACAAAGTAGTCTACCTTTTTGCCTTCCAAGATATCAATGAATCACCAAGGAAGATACACAAACCTGTAATGGACTTTCTGGAGTCAAGGCATGAGCCCCAATCAGTATCTGCAAATGCTCGTAGTTGAAAGGAGGAGGAGGCAACAAAAATATTCCCTGACCAGGGGTTGCCTTAAGATACCTCAAGAGATGATGGACGGCATCAAGGTAAGGCTTTCGAGGCGCAGCAACAAACTGACTCAGTTTATGGACTGGAAAGGTGCTGTCAGGGCGAGAGACGGTTAAGTACAATAACCGTCCAATAAGCCTACAGTATAAAGACATCTTCAATGAGATCTCCCTCATATGAACTAAGGCGAGACTTAGGATCCATAGGTAATTTAGCTAGTTTGCAAGCAAGAAAACCAGTATCTTCAAGGAGCTGAAGAGTGTAATGTCTCTGAGAAAGAAAAATGTCTCTTTGGGACCTGGATATTTCCAAGCCAAGATCCTTAAGCTTGAATTGATCATGGACGAATGACTTCAGGGACTCAATCTCATGAAAACCTGGTCCAGTGATAACAATGTCATCAACGTAGACTAGCAGTGCAATGAAAGAAGTACCAGACCTTTTTGTGAATAAAGACTAGTCAGATTTTGATTGTTGAAACCCATAAAGAATAAAGGCCTGTGAAAACTTCGAGAACCATTGCCAAGATGCCTATTTAAGGCCATAGATAGATTTATGGAGTTTACACGTAAG